GGCAGACAACAAAGACACAGCAGATCCTGACGACCTCCAGCTTCTAGCGACTTTCTCCTCCTTCTCTGGTACAAAATCTGAAAACCCTAGCGTCGATTTTTCTGATATTCTATTCTTAAATAGTAAAATGTTTTGATTTTTCGTTTCTTCACTAATTCCAGCTTTGTTTGTCATATACACGTCTCAAAGAACCTTCCCTTGTAGGCTTTCTTCTCTTTCCAGCGTATTACATCGGTGATCTCATCGATTGCTATACCGGCGCGGTAAGGTAGCCTCCACTCCGGCGCAACAACCCCTCCGAACGATGAATTTTCATCAAGTCTAAAATTATTGTGTTTAAGTGCTTCAAAGAACGATAAGTAATAAAAAGTCTTTTTTTCTGTCCTTTAATTATATGTACTAGTATGTAGTGTATGATTGTGTGGATGTGATGGCTTCGCAAGATCTAATCGATCAGTGTTGGTAGAAATTGAAACAGGTAAAAATGAGATAGGGTGTTAGGGTTTATTGAATGCACTCTACATGTTTGTTTAAATTCCTAAGGCATCTTCGAACAACACCAAGCAGGTAACTTCTATTAGCTTTGGCCTTCTACGTCTCTTGATGCCTTTTTCCACTAAAACAGCTCCCTTTTTTTATGTAAGGTGCCAGAAGATGTTGTGACAATAGGTAGCTAGAATTCTCATCTTTGTACAATCATATGTTCAATTAAACACGCCATGAATGAAGAAAAGTCAAAACGCCATGAATGGAGAAAAGTCAAAAGAGATGGAAGCTGTCACAACATATGGATGTTTCAATCCTTAAGGTTTGCATTTGAGTTACTTTCTTAGGTTATATTCGTTTATCATCTATAAAGTTAAAATGTAATTTGCAAACACCTGTGAAATCAAAGTGTTGGAAATCTAGCAAATGGTTCTTTTTTCCTTCTTTCTTTTTTTTAATTTTTTTTTATTTTTATGATTTAATAGTATGATGTGTAGTCACTATATCAATTTGAAAATAGATAAAATGATGAGAAAGTTAGAAAAGAAGCAATAATAGCTTTGCAAACTTGTATTCAACAAAATCTTTTAGCTGCATACTTACTACTTTTGATGAGGATGAGGAGGGCAATTTGTATCTTTTGAACAGATAAAGGATTGGGAGAATAATTTGTAACGCTCGTAGATCCGGGCTAGTAAATTTAGAGATAATAGTGGTCGAAAATGACTTTTCAGCAAAATATTATTTGGAATAAATAATCTTAACCAAGTTGTAGTATATGTCACAAGGTTTCTGTACATATAAACAACGTCAAAATCCGAGTTATAACGAAGAAGTTATGACCCGTCGAAGTTTCGCGATGGAACCGGCATGGCACCGGGAAGCGTAAATAGTGATTTTACGATGGAGAACTTTTTAGCCTTAGTGATCTAAATGAATGTCGTATAATATGTTAAACCGAGGAAATCCATACAAAGAACGCCCAAATCTGACTTCGTATGAAGAAGTTATGATTTTTCTAAGATTCGGCTTAGAAGTGCGCGACCCGAAACACGAATTTTAGTTCGAGCGGTTTTTGGCTTACGTGAATTAAATGAGAGTTGAAGATCTCATTAATAGGAACTTAACAGTAAAAAGACAGACGGAAACAGAGTCCGTATGAAGGAGTTACGAATTCTTTGCGGTCATTTAACAGTCTAAACGCCTCGTACTGTTAAATTTAAGATCGGCAGAGAATTAGCTGATGGAGTCAAAATAAAAGTTGTAGATATTATTTTTACCTACGCGTGTATATAAAGAACGTCAAAAATGGAGGTCGTATGTGAAAGTTACGGATTTTAGAAGTCGGAAGTGTGCTGTGCGAAAATGGGTGATGTGGCACAATCTTGGCCATTGATTTCTCCCCAAGTCTTGACACAAGATGGTGACATGTGACACCAAGTTCAACCATTTTCACCCTATAAATAGAACCTCTCCCACCCTGATTTTCTTCACACCTTTCTCATTATTTCTTCTCTTTATTCTCTCTAGAACCTCTCTCTAGCCCCGAAAAGCCTAGGGAACCTCCCTAGCACGAGGCGGAAGCCCCTAAGTGCTCGACGGCTCCGAGAAGAAGAGCTTTTCCGCACGGGAATGCTGCTCCAAGCAAAACCTGGTTTTCTATAAAATCCGTTGTAAGTGAGCTACGCCTACGCTATTTTTGATATAGTTTTTATTTAATTATATTAACGTTATTAAGAACATATAATAAGTAATTGGGCTATTATTATGGGTTATATAAGTATTATTTAACTGTTATATAATAGTAATAATAGCTATACTATTAATTAGTCTCGGTGAATAATAGACTAAACTCTAGTGGTAATAATACTAGGTTTCGCCGAAGGATTTTTTTTTTCAAGAAGTGAAGCGTTGTCTGAGTTCGGAATCACCACCTTTTCAAGTGAGTGCATAGTTACTTTCATCTTACACATAGATATGAAGTATTTTATATAAACTACGTGATATGTGTGCATATTATCTGTATACTTGCTGTTTATGTTGGATGAACGTTTTTTATACATGTTTTAGATAATTTAAATTGTATTCGTATTTTATATACACGAATATGTTGGTTATGATACGGGTAGATGAATGATGAAAGATAAAAGATGATGTGAGTAAACATTGGCAGCTATAGACTTAGTGCCTAACTAATAAATATCGGCAGCTATGGACTTAGTGCCTATTGGACAAACACCGGTAGCTATGAATTTAGTACCTGTTAAGGAATTGGTAGCTATGGACTTAGTACCTATTAGATAAACACTGGTAGCTATGGATTTAGTACCCGATGAATAGACTATAGCAACTATGGAATTAGTGCTTTATGAACGAACATTAGCAGCTATGGATTTAGTGTTAGTCCTATAACCCTAGAAGTAAGGGACTTCGGAATAAACGAATGCAGAATAGATGACTCTTAGGATAAATCCTTAAGAGTAAAGAAGATAATCGGGATGGGTAATTGAGTTGATTGTTTGATTGTTTAAACATAATAATTATATTATTGTGGGTTGAAAACCCAATGTACTCACCAGGTTTCCCAACCTGACCCACTCAGTTTATTTATATCACAGGTGTTGATATGAAGTCACATTGCACTGAGAGATTAAAGAGATGTAGATCACTAGTGTAAATAAATGTAAGTTCTGTTTATGCTTATGTTCCTGTATTGACGATGACATTCCAAACGTTTTAAAATGAATAAAATACGTTTCTACGAAAATGTTTTAATAAAGTATTTATCGTGTTTTTCTGGGAACGAATTCCTCAACATTTTTATTAAAAGAAGAACTCTGATTTTTTATAAAGCATAAACAAAATCGGTCTTTTCTGGCCGTGAAAATGGGGATGTCACATAATTTGTGTCCAAGCTCATTGCCTTCGGTTTGTGTCCAATCTCTCTGCCTTTGGTCTTGTGAAAACGAGAATAGTTTTGACATAGGGAAGTAAACTGTTCTGAAACCTGCCCGAATCGAATCTGAACCAAAAACGAAAATGATGGATTGGGAGATTCGGTAACTTGACCGAATACCACTAATTAATCGGTTCTGGTTCGGTTTCGTTGCACAAATGTTTGTTATACCTTGATAATATAAATTAATTCCATGAATTTCCTTGCATGGTTTTGTGTTCCTTTAACGGGCTTAATGTTCAACAGCTAGAATCAAGCTAAATTAAACTAACCTCATTGGAACAAGACTACAAGAGTTGCAAGGAGTTAGAGCTCAAATGATTATATCTTTCTTTGTTTTCTAGAATTAAATGCAACTTATTTGTTAAATACATTGAATTGTGCTCACCGCATGTATTATGACATTATATCTTTTAAGATTCATGGGTTGATTTTTGTTTTGTTTATGTACTATATTTTAAAGGGGTTTATGTTAACGGTTGAAAAAACTTTCAGATCTTTCAATAGTTTATCTTGGTAATGTTCTAGTACATTTAGGTGGGGTTATTTGTTTATTTAAGGATGCGGTTCTTTCTCTATTTAAAGGAGCAGTTCTAATTTAATGATGCGGTTGTAATTTGCTTTTATGGAAGAAGCAATTTGTTTTTTTAGGGTTGTTCTCGCATTTTTAGGGCAGTTTGAAAACCGCACTATTAAATAAGGGGATTTTTTAAGGCGATATTTTTTGGCGCGGTTCAATAACCACATCAATTAATTATTTTATACGCATCAACAAAAACTTTTTTTACTACTGGACAAACATCTGATGTGGCAAAGGGGTAACCGGATGACCACTTCATTTTGCCCAAAAGGACCTAATCAAACCGACAAAATGTAATCCGTTCTCTTATAAAGCAACAAAATAAATTAAGTGGTTAAATGGGTAAACCATATAAAATTTATAGCATATATATATATATATATATATATATATATATATATATATATATATATATATATATATATATATATATATATATATATATATATATAGTTTCAAAACATAAAAACTCAATGCAAAGCTTGAAAAAGTGAAAACTTAGGATTTAATTAATAACACTGTGTAAAAAAACATTTTTTTAAAACATATTGGCTTTTATACAATTGACCTTCCTCTTTCTTCTATAAAAACCTCATATATCACGAACGAATTGCCAATGATTCATTCAACATTGCCGGTTAATATACTTAGAATTTGTGGTCGAAAGAATTTCCAATGTTTGTTGTTTGTATCTACAATTGAAAATAAGTATTCGAGACTTTAAGGTTTTTATTTGTATTGATCGTGTAACATTTTAATAACTAAAAATCTCCTTAATTAAAGGTGGTGATAAAAAAATAAATATTAATTACCGGCCTGTTACCCCTCCGAATAGTAGAAAGTAGGGTTATAAGATTTTACACTTTAATGAATAAAATATAAACGAAAAAAAGATGTGATGACAAATATCATTTTCTAGAAATCAAAGAATGGAACTCAAATCAATTCTCCCCCGATATGACGAACAGTAGCAAGGCACTAGGAAACAGCACCACAAATCCTCCTTATCACTCCTGCTTCACCCGTTAATGGCCTGATCTCACTCATCTTCACCATGGCTGCTGCAAAATCCGACTTGAACTTGGAAGGATTGTTGCTATATTCCGAAACAATGCTATCTGTGGATCCACCGCTGTAAAGCACCTGATCCGATTCAAGAAGACCCTTCTTTTGTATCAGATTCTTGAAGTAGTTGTAATCAAACGAATTGGGAGTCACCAAATCTAGTGGTGCAAGATTTTCGTTTCCATCGTTTATAGGGCAACGACGTCTACGTGTGCTAGCAAATCCAGCATCAATGTCTGATCCATTGCTGTATATTCTGTCACGAAACAAGAAGCATTGAGCTTGTCCAATTGTATGAGCTCCTGATAAAGCAACCATGTCCCTGGCGTTAAGTCCGTTATCTTTAAAGGTGGAAATAAGTGAATCAAGAGGAGCTTTAAAACTAGGAAGACTGGTCTCTGCTAGAACAAGGCTAGCGGTAGTGGAATCTCTTCTTCCAAGCTTCACCGACCACGACGGACCACCAACCATTTCTGACGCATCACGGGCAGCCACCGTGAGTATGTCTGCACAAGATACAACACCGGGACATAGTTTCTCAACCTTCGACTTGGCAGCGTCAATCACTTCGTAGCCTCTTACAGAACCCTTATTTGGCAACGCATTCCTTTCCCCTACTATCGAAGGCCCATCCTCTAACAAGATTGATGCGTCGCAACCCTGAACGAAGCAGTCATGGAAATGGAGGCGAAGGAGGGAAGCTGCCATGCGACGTTCGCGAGAGATGGCTGTCCTGATGGTGGTCCTTATTGTACTGAGTGCATTGGGACATGTAGCTTTATAGAAGTTAGAAGACAACTGTGCATTGCAGGGTGTATTATTAGTAACTGAGAGAAAGAGTAGAAAGAAGATGGTTGTAGAAATATGTCGGGGAGCCATTGATGAAAAATGAGATTGAGAGATGAATTGAAATAAAAGGGATGTCGCAGAGATTTATAGTGTTGTGCTAAACCGCGTAACTTGTGTTTGTTTGCTAAACGATAGATGCATAGAGAGCAGTGAGCAGATCTTGACTTGTTCACCTTATAGTGGATGCATATATTTATTTTTGTTCGTGAACGTGCTTAGTTATAATCGGCATTTAAATAACTACTAGGTTGAAGTATTTGAATGCATATGGGTTGTAAATATAACACCAAATTAATGTCAACCAGAGCCTCTTTGACGTTCCCATTATTTATATTTGCTTGGTTAATTTTGTTGAGGTCATGAATCATATCCACTTATAATCTTTCTATCTAATAAAAGAAAATAGTTTTATTTTGATTATGACATGTATCATCTTATTAAGCTCCTAATTAATGCATATTTTTTTTTTTCTCTTTTTTCATATATCACCATATTATATCTCTTAATTAATAAATGTCATTTGTAAAGCTATTAAGTATCAATTTCAAATTTTAAATTTTAAATTTACCACTATAATTAAATTAAATTAATAAGATTAGAATAAAAATTAAAGTAAACTTAATACAAATTATAAACTGATATAATTTCACATATTTATTTAAATCAATGATTTAAATTTATATAACCAAAAAATCCTTTAATTAATAATTTATTTAAAATAATTAATTAATAATTTTTAGTTTTTACTTTAAAATTTTAATTAATTGTATAACCGTGGTTCCTACGATTTATAAACTAGTAATAAAATATACAAATAGAGTACTTTTTTCTACAAATGTCCTCCATAGCTCTTGTTAAAATCTTGTTCTAACCAAATGATTTCTATGCTTTTTTGCCATTCTATTCCTACATGGCTTAATTAAATATAAATGTTTAAAAATTTAAGAATTTTGGATTTTTGAGAAAATAAGAAAATAATGAATTATCAAAATTGTTTTATTTTTTTTATTTTTTAAATTTAAACAAAAAAAATAAAAACTAATGAGCTTTCATTTAGAAATTTGTAAGTAAAAAAGGTAATCCCAATGATTTCTATGCTTTTTTGCCATTCTAGGGTTTTAGTTAAATTGCGAACTAATTTCTAGGAAAAACGATGAACTAATTTCTCCAATACATAAAAAACTTAACTTGCTACCAATCTTGATGATTAAATGTTTTGGTTTGGGTTTCTTTTAATAACTTGTAACTAAGAAAACAAGTTCTTAGTTCTTCTTCATTTATTTCCTCTGGATTTGGGAATTCATTATACTTTATAACATTTACGGAATGATATTAGCACATCTGTGCTTGAACATCTTTTATCGCATTGTGCTTCCCAAACCTATTTGTCATCTTACAAATTTGTTGCATGTAAGGTTTTAATACGTTTAGATAACCTCTATGACTCACTACTAGAAACGGGGATATCAACGACTGCAAATTCCGCCGCTGAAGACCACCAGCGACGGATTAGCGACTGAATTTGCTGGTCGAAAAAACCCTTGTCGGTAATTGTCAATGACTGCAAAAAGGAATAAGTTTATCGGTTCACAACCTTAATAAATAATCTACTTTGTTCAGTGAAAGTTTAAACTGCACCTTGTGAGTAGCAAAAATTGCCCAAACTTCTCCATTGAAGTGATTGATTACAATTCCTTCATATAGCTTGTGATCATTTGTTTGGATCCTTACAGGCTTGCAGCAAGACGTTACGTATGTCCCTTGATAAACAAAGACATAGTCAAATAGTAAGAAACAAATATTTTACTCTTATAAGTCTACAATACTGTAAACATCTTCGAATTCATGGAATTAAAAGATTTAAAAAGAAAATATATGTACCTCCCTGACCCATAATATACAAGCAGCAAACCCAAGGTACAAAGAACTTGGCATCATTGTATTCCTATGAGTGATGAAAACCATAGAATTAAAATTACATCACAAATTTAGTAATTATAAGTAAACCAAGGATTTAATAGTAGCATTGCAAGAATAATAATTACCAAGATTGTTTCTAACAATAGAAGAAGCGTAGAAGGAAGAAACTATGAAATATGTATAAAACGTGCCATGTGAAATTGTTACCAGATCTTCATCCTGCAATAAACCACAACATTTATTGAACACATAAGAAACTATGTAAAAGTTAGGAGCAATTACATTGTACTCTAAAGATAAAGTTGACATAGAAAACTGCATCATGTCCTTGAAATCTATAGTTACATTATACATCTTATAACACAAAATAATCAACCAAACATTAGTGTCACGTGCATGGTATAGAATACAACAATATATTTGAAATCTTTACAAATATTTTTTTTTAATATATCAATGACGTTGTTGTTTAATAAATATTATATTTTGTTGGTATAAACATAGTTTGTTTTGAACTATATGATAATATAGACATCTTTTATAATTCTATAATCTAAATTTTTTCAATGACCTCTACCTATAGGTTACTCATTAATAGAATTACATATAATATATGGTTTAATAATATTTATTATTGTTATTATGATTAATTAATTTTAAAAAGTTTATTTACATAAGATTTTGATTTATATCATTGTAATTATTTAAAATATCAAACATTGTTTTTGTGTTTAAAGGAAACAATATAATTTTTGTATAAAATATTACTTTTAACAATTGGTATTGTAAGTTATTTAAATTATCGTATTTGGAAACTCTCGATTATTTTAATTTGGTTTAAAAAATCTAATCTTTTTAAAATTTATTTGATTAATATTTTTTGTTTTTTTTATTGTAATTATTTAAAACAACAAAAATTGTGTTTGTTTCTTAAAGATAACATTATAATTTTTTATATAATATTACTTTTAACTATTCCTATTGTATGTTATTTTTAAGTTACTTATTTGAAATTCTTAATAATTATAAAAAATATGTTTTTTTTTGTTAATTTAGGATTAAAATTTAGGTTTAACATTATAACTTATAACTTTTAACCATTTATAAATAATCTCTCGATTTTTTTTTCCAGGTTTAACTGTAATTTTGATATAAGTTAACCGTTTAACATTTTATTGAAATTAATAATTTAACTATTTTGCATAAAATCATAAATTATACCAAAATTGTGACTTTAAAATGACAATAGCTCACATACAAAAACATATCTAAACTAATAAGTTAACTACAATATGTTAAAAGCTTAAAGTGATAATTTTATAATAGAAGTAAAATATGATATTTTAGTATTGTAGTTTAGTTATTTTTTTTATTAGAATTAGTTTTTATATTAGTTTAATATTATTAACCAATTTATAATAACTATTAGAAGGAAATTGAAAAGTCATGGAGGTTTCAAATGCATGTGATGCAAGAAAAAAAATACATCTTTTATAAGTATACTAGACGAATGTCTGCGCGTTGCGCTGAAACACCTATATAGTTGAAGTATTTACAAATATACGTTTTTTTACTAAATTGATATAATATATTAATTATTTTAAATTATATGAATATATACACACACACACATCTTTTATAACTGCATAATCTCAATCGTTTGAATGACTTCTATCCGCAAGTTTCACATGAATAAAATTAAATATAATATATGGTTTAATTTTATTTATAGTTGTTGTTATTGTTAATTATTTTTTTTTAAATTTATTTAAAGGTAACAATATATACGTATCGGTCCTGTGCTTTCAGTAGTACGAGCCTATACTACCTTCCACACCTACCCATATTTGTCTCAAGTATCAGCACAACACCCTACCATATACATATACATAGCGAGTGATAATCCTCACTCCTAGAGGAATGCTAAATATCTCAAAACTGGCCTCCCGGCCTCTTACTACCCACTAATCCATGAAACTTCCACCAACCCCTACAGCACTAGTGCATGCTAGCCATATATAATGATGGATCCTATAGACTTTCGAATATCCAATCCTACCCTAAGCCCTAATCAATAAGAACAGAACATAAGGCCATATCAAACATTCTCAGGATATAAGATCTTAATTATATATAACTGTGATACATACATAAGTAACTAGAGTAATGATGTTAATCTCATATAAGGAAAACCCTAGGCTAACATGCATCATGTACTCAGGCAATTCTATCATGCAATTTCTGAAGATCCCTAGCCTAGCACTATCATGCTGTTCTAACATATCACAATATCAAATAACCGTATGATATTTTGGGGTCTAGTTACTGGCTCCGACTGATCGTACACTTCGCATCCTCATTTACTTATTTTGAAAACCATTTAAAACCATTTTGAAAATTGGATTCACACGAGTGTTCCCCTTATTCACTCAAACCAAGGCTCTGACACCAACTTGTAACACCCATAAATTTCATGCCAAATTTAAACTTTCAAAAACATTTAAAATGTCAATAGTTATTACAAAAAGGTTTCTAAAATAGTTTCATATCAGAGTTTCAAGAAATCATAATCATAAACCGAGGAAAGTGTACAGTCACGCCTTCGCCTTCCCGCGGTCATCCGCCAAACCTGAAACAATAACCGATAAATGTAAGCTCAAAGGCTTAGTGAGTTACCCCCAAAATACCAACCTCATATAACAATAATCATATCGTATCAACAAGTACAGAACAACCATGCAGTGTGGCTGGTGCGCCCGCACCGGGCCTTCAGTTCACCTGGTCCACTCCCTGAGTCTACAGTAAGACTGGACCGCCCGCACCGGGCCCTCAGTTTGTCTGGCAAACTCTCCAAGCCTCGATATGTCTGGACCACTCTCTCGGCCTTCAGCCTATCCGGACCGCTCGATGGGCCTTCGATCTGACTATGTGCCCTTCCGGGTCTATAGTCTACCCGGTCCGCCCTCGTAATGTTGGGTTACAACACAAAGCAAGACCCGTGTCAACCCAACCCCCATACCAAACAATCATGTGCACATAACAAATAATCACATAACATGACCATATATAACAAATCAATCTAACAAATCATATAGCATAGTAAGATCCTA